CATTATGCTGTGGGTTCATGCAGGCGGTTAAGGGACGCGGATCAGAGTTCATGCATATGGACGAAACATCCAAGGGAATCCTGGGAAAGCCTATAAGTTATCATTATTCCAACAGTACCAAAAAATATTATAACATAAAACTTTAAGTTTGTATTGCAAGCACAAAAACTTGTGTCCACAGATGTGGCGGAAACGTATTTGTAAGATTGATCATGGTTTGGCCTAAAAACTTTGGACAGCAGTTTTCTTACATCTTCTCCCCTGCACGTTTCCTGCACTTCCACAAAGTCGAGCTTTTTCCCGTCTGCAACGACGGCGACGTCTGGAACTACATCACTACAACAAAAATAATAAGAAAACATGCTTATCATTAATAACATAAATATAAATACTTAAATAGTTAGAGGAACTGGTCATAGGAAACATGACTGAGGGCTGAGCTGTGGTTCTGAATGGTGCATCCTCTCAGCAAGAATATTTCCTGTTTCAATACAAGTAAAGCTGATTTTTCTGTCTATAGTTTATTTATTTTAGATCATTCATTGATGTTCTCCAGATTCTTTCTCTCATTGCAAAAGCTGCTGATTGTAACAGCATCTAGTGAATAAAAAGTGGATAAAGAAATAAGTTGCCACAAATTGAGGGTAGAAATAAAATTTATTTTAAAGTCAAACTGACAAATGACAAATATTATAGAAACACAAAATTTCATCATAACAATGTAACAGGTTGAAAATACTGCAGATATAATCTGCATTACTACCTTCAAAATTTAAAAAAACAGAGGCTGGTTCATCAAAAAGCTCTTATTTATTATGATGTGAGGAAAGTTAATGTAAGAAAACAAACTGCATCATTAAAACAATGATCAATTAGCATCTAAATCTTAAAACTAGTTAGAAATGTATAATAATTTCCTCTGCAGTGCATTTCATCATTTTGCTTTCCGACAATCAGAACAAAGATCTTCGTCTGTAACAAAGAGCTGGCTTTGCCAATCCTTCATCTCCTGTGTTTTACATGAAATGGTTGCAGTAGATTTGCTCAGTTTTCGTAGATTGCTGTGTATTCATCTGCATCTCCAGAGAGCAATTCTGTGCGCTGCGTCCTCTTCTGCTGTGAGAACATCGCATGATTGTTGTACATCTAAAAAGAAGAAATAGATTACAATGGTTGGCGTGGGCGAGTCAGGTTACTGTCAGGTTTAGTTTAACATTAAAATGCAACTCATGTTCGAAGCCCTAGTCCTCGATGCGGCTGTCGTGAATTCGAGTGTTGACTTGATGGCCTTTTGTCTTCCTTCATTCTCACAACCAACTTTCCTGTCTGACACCTTTCAAATTAAAGCCTCCGGAGAAAACAAACTCTTGAGAAAACTCCGGAGTAATGTAGCACTGTAATTGTCATTGTATCAACTAATGTTTTCATATAAAACATCTAAAGTGCCGCCTCTTGTTAGTACTGGGCCGTGTACAAAAAACCATTTGGACTTTGGTTTTCTTACATCTTCCTCACTCGTCACGTCTTGTGCATCTACTGCCTCCAGTTTGCTTGTGTTCATGTCGACTGCTGCTTCAAGTGAAACAAAGCAAATGAAAATAAATTAGCTTTTGTGCACATTTGCCTTTGTTGAAACGAAGACACGAAGCTCACCTGTCAACTGGCGACGTTTGGTCTTGCAAACTTTGACCAGGATGATTATCAGTATCAGCAGCAGAACAGGAAGTGCAGCGAAAAGCCAGTACAAAGCTACAGATGAAAGTCACAAATAAAGAGTAAAACAAATTCAAGATGAAATTACTTGACTTTCTCAAACACATTAGCCTTAAAGCACCATGCTGCTACAAGTAGGAAGGACTATTAGACAGTCCCTGAAGTCCACATGCTCCCCTATCGCTTCTTTTATACAGTTAGTCTTACTCTGATAATTCTTGAGTTGTAGTTTAGTTTAGAAACTTCTTAAATAACAAATGCTTTTTGCATATGATCACATGCAAAATGTGTTTTCTTCCAGGCTCTGTATACAGCTGCCACTCATAGAGAAGTGATATGGTTACCTGTCAAGGGAGAATAATAATTACTCAGAATAAATGGTGTCTACTGTTGAGTGAAACTTGAGCAAATGTTTGTGTAGAAAATGTTAAAAGTTTGGGTGCTAAAAAAGTGAGATGGCAGCGATAAGAGGTAATGACTCCCCCGTCTTTTTTGTGTCCAGTCCTGGGTGTTTGGACAAATATTCCACCTGGGAGTAGAGACACCATGTGTCGGTTCTGGGAGAGGCCATAAAGAGGGAGGAGTTTTGCACAAAGGTTTGTGGTGTTTCATGATGATGCTTAAGTGTAGAGATGAGATATAGTCCTTAAGACTAGCCAGCAGAAATTAGCAAAAACCTGGTGGGACTGTGCATGTGTGCTAAGATCATTTTAGGAGCTGCTTCTCAGTGTGCCTGTGTCTGTGTGTGGGTGTGTGTGTGTGTGTGGGGGTCTGTGTGTGTGTGTGT